ATTGAATAAGCTTTCTCTTGTACCATCAAGCACGAAGTTGCGATTCGATATGCCGAATATCTAATCGATGCGGCATCAAAATGATGATTTATATTATTAAAACTTTGTAATAGGCCATTAAATATTTAATTATAAAGTTGGAAATTTAATTTTTACATTATGTAATATCACGCCGAGTTTTATAGCAATTCCTAGCCTATATATAAACTTATATATAAATTATAATGTATATACTAATTGATGTATGGAATATTATGCCAATTTAAGAACATTTTCCCGCTTTTTAAAGCTGCAACCCTGTTGAACGGGTAGAAGTAAACTTTTCCCACCTGTATGACAATATTCACTCCTTCCTACATCTGACGGTTACTATGACAACGGCATGCAGAGTTGTGGCTGTCGATTTGTGTCCTCAGAGGACTAGGCCCATTTTCTACTTTCAGGGAGTAGAAGACAAATCTGGTAAGAGGCAATACTTTTTTCTTATATCATAATATGATAAACTGTATTATCCGCATAAATAACACTAAATCCATCCAGCAATATGACTAGAAGCATTTTGTTGGTTACAAATATCCGAAATCTCTTTTTTTTCCCCCACTATAACACAAGAAGTGGATTCATTAAACTGTCCAGAATATCACATTTTGTATTAAAGTTTCTAATAAAAAAATTGTCTTCTCTATCCAATAAAATAAAACTATTTTTTTTGTTTTTTTTTGTAAACACGTACTTTTTTCTATCTTTAATATAGAAAAAGCAAGCAATCAATTTTTATTAAAGTCGAATCATTTTTAAAGCGAGTTTTGCTGGAAGCAAAAGTGAAGTGGTCTACAATAAACAAAACCAATATATGCTATATTTTTATAGATTGCATGTTAGATGCGACAATTCACGTGATCCCTAACTGCAACTATAAGGTTTAATATAACGATAGGATTCGGTAGAGCATGCAGTGTGAAGGTGGAGCGGGCTATCTCACCCAATAAGTTACGTCTCAGGTGGCCCGAGGTAATATGGATGCTAATCGTTCTCAAGAGACTCGTTGGACTGAAGCTATGTAGGGGAGACGGGTCAGCTTAGCAATCTGAGAAGTCGAAGCCGAAAATTGTACCCTCGAGTTGTCGATAGGCAACGTCCCATAATCTCAATCCGACTCGCAGAATGGATTCTTGGTAATCTGTATCCCAGGAGGAGGATGTAAAAAAGGGGGGAAAGGGAAGGAAAAAAAAAGCACGCGACCATCTCTCTCCACATTTAGAATTCAAATATCCCTAAAATAAATTCAGCCCTTAAGTTAAACACAACTACCACCATTATTATCTTTTATTACACAACTGGAAATATTCGCTAGAGAATTATTTCTTGGCAGAAATTTAATATTTGAATATTCCAAAACTACTTCTTGGTAACGAAATGATTTAAGTTGATATTAAAATATTTTAATGGCAAACGAAATTAAACCGTACTTAAAATTACGTGTATAAATAAATATATATATATATAGCCTATATATATATATATATTTAAAAATTCAATTTAATAAATTTTATTGTTAATTGCAATAATGGTAAATTAAATTCTTACTTAATTGAAATTTATAGGCGTTATAGCTTGTAAAATGAATACGGTTTTAACATACGAAACTCGAGCGATAAAGCCTCTTTACCAACAATTTAACCCTTCCATATAACAATCCCTAGCAGTGTATGAAAGGAAGTGTTACTCTACTCAGATATTATGAAGGTGAAGCAATTTCTACACAGCCTCTTTCACTCCATGGGTGAAATACTTTGGTGTGGATATTACTGCTTTTGTAACAGAGGCCGTTATGAGGCTTAGTCGAGGCGGATAGACGATAACATTCAATCGCCAGACAGAAACCCTAATGTCGTATCCGTGAGATCGTTACGAAGCGGAGACTGGGTCGTTTCCTGTAAGGAAACGGTAGCAACGTTACAATCTCGTCATATATTACGTCAGCAACCAGATTTCTCTGCACGTAAGGCCGAGAAACACTCGTATGTCGCACTCGATAGTTACGCACTATATATTTACCATGCGTGAGATACCTGTTGGTACGGGCTGTGAAAACAGATATTTAAGGCCATAAACTGTCTAAATATTTATTGTATGAGTTTTTCTACGTATAAACAGAAAGGAATTACCGCTGTTGAAGTGTCATTCTGGAATATTTATCGCGTTATATCGAAAGAAAAACGTCGACGAGCTATTCTAGTGTGTGCTGCCGCTGTTTTAACGAATTTCATAAAAAAAAAAAAAAAAAAAAAAAAAACTTAAGTCGTTAAAATACTAATTTTTCTTAATTTTCTTGAGGAAACATCGCAGAATAATTTAATCAACCACAAACTTTTAAAAATCACATTAAAGAATAAATTTATATTTTAAGAAAAGCAACAAATCGTCACCAATTAAATTAACTTAAAGGTAAATAATCCTAATATTTTATTATATAAAAATAATTAAAAAGAAACTTACATAAACGTAATGTAAAACGTTCTAAATTTAATTTTATTGCCAAGATTTCTTTATTAGAGGCCACATTTACGAGTTAACTAAAGGTCAAGGTGAGTTAATTCGCTATACACTAAAAAATGTTCGAAGTATAAATTATGTTCATATCTAATTCTATGCTCGTATTTATAAAGCTAGAAAATAAATTATTTCTTTAAAAGTAGGATTAATTAAGTTACTTTTATTACCAAATTAGAAGTTTGTATGTGTATAATATTCCTAGAAAATTTTTAAATTATGTTTCATACTTAATAATACGTGTGCGTGCTCAATGTATTTTTTTTTTTTCTTTTTACTTTCTCGCCTATAGTAACTGTGTTATGAAATCAATAAAGAACTATAGAACTTGTAAATTTGTTATTCAGATAATGTTTATTTTTTATCGTGTTATTAAAGCGACGAGTAAAAATATTAGTTTTAGTCTTTCATTTCAGATATCGTCCTTATTAAACGAGAAATAATTTTTAAAAAAAACGTACACGAATGTTTCCTTTTTTTCTAGAAAATGCTAATTATAAAAGGAGTATAAATGCAATTATATATATGTATATATATATATATATATTGCGATTATTACTGGTCTGGCAGCGATAGTTGGGATGGAAATGGTATGACTAGGAAATCTTAGATCTTTCGGGAGTTTTTGCCCCTTCCGAGTTATAAGAGAAAAGTTCGGAATGTGCATCACGTCTCCACTCGCTCCGGGAGCAATTTAGGAAAGGTTTGATGCAAACAAAATTTACGAAACATGCAAATGGTGGGCGATTACTTTCCGTGACGAGCCAAGCCAATACGTTACGGAGCAGACTCGTTTCTGGATTATGCAAATGAGACGAGATAAGCAAATACTCCAACGCATTTCTCCTTTACCTCTTTCGTATTTTTGGGGTTAAGCTGGTTGTTCAATGTTTCGTTTAAGAACGATTCAGACTTTTCAATTTCTTTTCACTTTTTAACATGAGAAACGAGACCAAACTTACTGAAATTGCCAACGTTTTATTTTTAAAATTGTATCATTTGCATAACGGTTTTATTTATTTTTATTTTATTCTTTTCTCGAATGCTGTTAGATTATTACGCGAATTCTCATCTTCTTACACTCATTTCGATATGGTTGAAGCTTTTAAATGTCTATCTTTATAAACTTGGAGTAAACGTTCGTATTATTTCACAATTTAAGTTTCTTTTTTTTATTTGTAACGTGTTGCATACTTCTTCAATGCGATTATCATCACGGGCGATGCATAATTTATAGAAATTGTTTAAAAATTATATTACTTTTTATTTTTAAAAAATATAATAATAATACGCGCTTATAAAATGGAATTTGAAATTACAAAATGAAACTTTATAATAATAATTTAACGTCAAAATTTAAAGATAATTTAAATATGAACAAACTCGCGCGATAGACATTCACGTTAATGATATTAGGTCTTTCGCTCTCCCAAATGCGTTAATTAAGTAGACTATATATGCGTGTTTCAGATAAGAATCTAAGCTTTGAAACTGTCAATTAAATAAGTGAAAAATCATTATTACACTCAAACTAACTAATAAAATCGTTTCGGTTGGAAAATAAACGTACAGACCAATAGATTTTTGTGAGAATCGCAAAATTTCGGTGTTTTGCCCTGCCCTTTAGCTGTATAGAGACAAATCCACCAGTCAGAACATGTACGTCACATAATTACCAGTTACATTTTGGTAATTAAGCAGACAGTAGCGATGCTCATGCAGACACGTTGAGGTTCACTCTGCCACACGGACATAACATTCAACTCTTGTTAAGCAGAAAGGGGAAGGATTATTGACTAGTCGTTTGATCGATGGGTTTGTTTTCTGTACATATATATGCCACGTAGCTCAGTCCGTAACTTTATAATTTAATTACAGCACATAGACACACTTTTCCTAGAAATAATTACTGAAAACCTAAGTAACCCGACCACGTTCAAATTCAGGTTACATTGCCAGCACTCATTATTATGAAAATCCTGCCATCGTTAGTAGCGAGTATATATCTACATAAATTGCAAATCGAATCTGCATTTGGTAGTACTAAATGATCCCGTTATTACTTAAACTTCAAAAACTAAGTTTTTTTTTCCTTCTTCTTCCCCTTTGTCTAATTAGAAAAAAGTATTATATTTATTAATAGAACCTAAATGTTCATGGTTTTCATTAGTCATTCGTTATTAGGTTGAAGTCGCGAAATTTTCTGATGTATATAATTTATGGTTGATCTGTTCAATTAATTTTCACATTAACGATTATGGGAGAGACGTTCCGCTCTTAAAAAAAGACGGATGCATAAAATTAATTTATGGACTGGGCAACGTCTAAAGAAGTTTCGAATGTTGATTCTTAGAAAGCAAAGAATTTGTTATTCTTAACTAGGAAAAAATATAATAATAACAATATTGTAAAATAAGAAATTTTATATTTGACAAAGTATTTCTTACCTCCTCTGTTCTCACTGTCGGCAGGTTTCACTTGTATTGGACGGTTCATCTGGATGGAAAAATGAGAATTCCAATTACATTCATCCAATCATTCATTTAAACTACTTACTTTCTATTCAGTTAAGATTAAAAAAATCAGAAAGAAAAAAAATCTCTAAAGCAGTTTCAAAAGTGAATGATTTTGTAATTTTCTAGAATAAAAACAAATTCTAAGAAATGAGAAACAAAATGATTGATTAAAAAAACCAGAAGAACGTTAATAAGATTCATCAGTTTTTTTTATATAATTCAGGCAATTACCTAGTAATAAAGATAACTTTTTTTAAATAATTTTGTAAACACACTGGTATATACATGTGTATATATGAATTTATATTAATATATACAACACAAATATCATTATAATTTTAATTTTCTTTACAGATTAACTGTTGAAATAAAACAAGTATTTTACTGGAAAGACATTAAATAAATGGGGCATTAAGGAAGTTACGAAAATGTGAATTATAACAAGAACAGTAATGAATAACTGGAGTGAAATATTGATCATTAATGTATGCAATGAATTACATGATTCCCATTTGCAAAATGTATTCTGTTAGCGTTGGAATTATTGACGAAAATGAAGCATCGAATGCGTTTAACTAACAAGATGTGACATTCCTTCCAATATTGTAATCAGTTCTTTATTGTAAACATACAAACCGATTCGATAATGCTAGCTACCAATAGACCAACAACACTTATGTTTTCATTTAATCTTCTTTAAAAAGGTGAATATAAGGAATATAAAAGAATATTAAGTGAATATAATATAAGGAATATGATATTTCCAACAAATAGCAAATACATGTAAAAGCAAGAAAATATATTGCAGAAGTTGATATTTTTACAAAATCACATCAAGACAATCTAATGTAAAAATTTTATTACTTAATTCATAAATAAAATTTTGAAATCTTCTATTCATACGCTTAAATTATTCGATCATTAATTAAATATTTGACTATTTATCATCATACTTCAATCAATCAAATATAATATATAATATTATCAAATGCAAAATATTCTGATTGATGAGTATATGAAGAATATCTTTTAAACATTATATAGATAAATATACATGAAATCCTGATAAAATTAAACAATATAAAAATTATTTTCAGTAGATTTCTTTACAAATTAATGTAACAATTGCTTCATTGCTTGTATCGCAATCATTAAAGACTTTATAATTGAACCTTTGTTTCTTAGGCTTGTTGAATAATTAAGTAATTTCAGTAAACAAAAATATAAATAGAATGTAATTCTTAAATATAAACTTGTTTACCAAAGCAAGAAAGTAAAATCTAATAGAAGAAATATATATTTAGTCCCAGATAAGAAGTGATCTCAACTCAATCCAATATTGAGAACTCAATGTTGGATTTTCAATTAGATTTTTTAATCTGAATTTGTTATTTTTCTTTGAATGAACACGTTTATACATTACTTTATAATAATAATTTAACGTCAAAATTTAAA